ACAGCCCCTCGTTTGTTGTCCTCTTCTCCCTCTCTGCCTACGGTTTACCGGGCAGTTCTATTTGACGATATATATATATATATATATATATATATATATATATTTTGTCTTTTCTTCGCTCATCTTATTTCTTCTTCTAGTTCACGTGCTTACGCTCTTAGTGAATAGTTATGTGACAATATATATATCAAGGGACGAATGAATCCACAAATGAAAACAACAATCAACCAATCGATCAACAGGCATCAAAGAATCAACCACTTGTTCTATCAACCAATCGTTCAATCACTCCTTCGGCAAACGAACATACATTCATTCAATCAGTCAATCAATCAATCAATCAATCAATCAATCAATCAATCAATCAATCAATCAATCAATCAATCTATCAATTAATCATACCATTAATCAATCGATCGTATAATTAATCATTCAATCATTCAATAAATCAATCAATCAATCAATCAATCAATCAATCAATTGAACATTTCATCAAGAGATCAATTGATCAATCGATCAAATTTCCATTTACTCTACCGATCAGTGCATGAATTGCAATTTCCAGAAAATAAGTTGATTGAATGGCATGTGAAGTTAGTGCGGTGATAGATAGATAGATAGATAGATAGATAGATAGATAGATAGATAGATAGATAGATAGATATCGAGAGATAGATAGATAGACAGATAGATAGATAGATAGATAGATAGATAGATAGATAGATAGATAGATAGATAGATAGATAGAGAGAGAGAGAGAGATTTGGTTTCCTTAGTAACAAAATCAACAGTTGTTCGGTACAACAGGTTCGGACACACACACACACACACACACACACACACACACACACACATACACACACACACACACACACACACACACACACACACACGCGCACACACACACACATTGACACCTGAACGGCGGTCGGCTCCGACATTCCCACTACCACACACCCACGATTGCACTATCGTCACGGACATGGTGCTAGTGCACCATGAACATCGACATGATGGGCTACATGATCAATCAAGCTAGCCCCGACCCTCGTTCCAAGGTGGGAGCCATAACTGGGATCAATTTCTGGCATGGCTTCGATGTTGAGGTCAAAAATATGACGTGGCACTCGCTGGCGGCGACGCCGACGGGGACGGGGGTTGCGTGGTGGACCAACCCCGTCACTGTCGCTACTGTGGTTCAACAGGGCCAAGTCGATCTCGACCCTGCTACATGACACCCGCGGCCTAGGCCGCGGCCAATGAGGCCTTGTCCGAGGCCTATTTTTTTAATATTTTTTTTATACCCCTAAAAATACGTAATATATATATATATATATATATCGTCACAAACAGAACTGCCCGGTAAAACCGTAGGCAGAGAGAGAGAAGAGGACAACAAACGAGGGGCTGTGACGAACTGTTTCGTCGGAGTTTCAC